CTCAGCGACTGGGTGCACTTCCTTCTCAACACTGGGCGAGGGCACTACAATAGCATGATTGTTAGAGGAAGTAGAAATTAGAAATTAAAATCACAAAGTTCTTTGAGTTATTTAAATAGTTGTTTGAGTTTTGTGATTGTTTTCAAAGCTAAAATTAACAATTATGTTGCTAGAAGTCAAGACCACAAGAATAAAAAATATAAACTCGTCCTGAATTTTTGAAGTGTGGAGAAATCAAAGTTGTACATCCACCATGAGAGAAAAAACAGACAGAGCCAGATAAAGGAGGAGTTTGAGAAACCTCAGCAGTTTCTACCAGATGAGGAAGTACAGTATGCAGGATAGCTGCACTGATGAAGGAAGAAAAACAGAAGAATCCAATGAGAAAAGTCTTACAATAGAGATCTCATCCTTCATCCCTTTCAGAGAGAATCAGAGACATATAACAGGAGATGGGAGCTAAAGACATTTCATTTCTGCAGGTAGAGATGACTCTCTGTGACATCATTAATCTGAATATAGACTGACATTAATGAATGCTTACATACACACACTGACAGCTGCAGTGTGCACATGTTGAGTTGTTACATTGAGGAATTAGTTTTGCTGCAGCTAATTCAGATAGTTTTCCTGTAATATGTCCTCTCCCAGACATAATTGAGTTCTATTCCAGAGATAAAATATGAAAAAAGGCCCAAATTGACCTCACTTTCATTGAAACAATGCCAGGGAATCCTCTTAGTAATAGATTAGTGCAAAGCAGATGAATGGTATTTGACTGGGGTAAATTTCAAACAGTGAGTAAGACAGTGAATTGTCATGGGATTCTGTTTTCTCAATTGTTAATGCTGTTGTTGTCACGAAGCATTTTTCAGGACCCTACGCAGACAGCAGAATCCAGAAGGGAGTGAAACAAACACGTGGGAGAGAAGACTAGAAACGGGGCTGGTAGACGAACAGGGGAGCATGTCGATGGTGCGTTAGAAATTACCAGAACCCATGAGATGCATCTAGTTTTCTGAGCCATGTATATAGAACTTCAGTTTGATATTGTGTTGTTTAAAATTCAATTAAATTTATTTTTATATAGCGCCTTTCACAACATGGTTGCCCAAAGGCACTTAACAATGCAATTGACAATACCATACAAACTGTCAAGCAGGGAATGGATTACATAAGGAATTAAACAGGATGGTAAAGCTTAAAGTCATATGGCAAACACAAGGAGTTACCAAATGGGTGAACTCCCTCGTCTGTGTTAAAAAATCAAATAAAGGCCTTAGAGTTTGTCTGGTCCCTAAAGACCTAAATGAGAACCTGCTCAGAGAGCACTATCAAATACCAAAGAGGGATGAAATCCTCAGTGAGATGACAGGGGCGCAGTGGTTCACAAAACTAGATGCATCTCATGGCTTCTGGTAATTTCTTCTTAATGACAAAGGTGCAGAGCTCTGTACCTTAATAGACCCTTTGGACATTACGGCTACCAGTGGCTCCCATTTGGGATTTGTTCGGCAGCTGAGATCTTTAATGGAACCATGGAAACAATTTTTGAAGGTTTGGAAGGAGTAAGAATGTTGATGATGTGATCATCTGGGAAGAGACCAAGGAAAAGTAAATGAGAGAGTTTGCAAAACTCTTCAAAGATTGCAACAATATGGTCTCAAATTAAATAGAAATCTCAGTTTGTCAGGCAGGACATCACATTCCTTTGAGACAGGCTGACACCCGCTGGGCTGCAACCAGATAATAACAAAATTAATGGCGACAAGAAAGCACTACAGAAAGCATTGGGCATGGTTAACTATTTGGGAAAGTTTTGCCAAAAGTAGCCTCTAATACCTTTACCCTTAAGAGATACTTCTGTCAAAGACTGGGTGGTCATGGCAAAAGATAAATGATGGGGAATGGAAAAAATTGAAAAAAAATACTTTTCACTGAGCCCGTGCTGGGTTGCTTTGACCCAGGTAGGAAAATATAGGTCTACAGATACATTACATCCAAAGAAGGACTGGGAGCTGTTCTGCTTCAGGAATATGAAGAAAGTTTGAGAAATGTTGCCTATGCAGCAAGATCACTGCCAGACACCAAGAGACAATACACACAGATTGAGAAAGAGTGTGTCAAGCTCGCAAACCCCTCCTCTTAAGGACGCTCCAGCCCTTCCTTGTTCTGTACTTATCTCCTGCACCTGCACCTGCCTCTGGTTCCTGCCCCCCAAGCTATAAAAGCCAGACATTCCTGCCAATCTGGGCTCAGCTTTGGAAGATGGACGCCCAGAAGCCCACCTACCCTCAAGTCCAGGAGCGACTCGATGGCATTGGCTTCCAACGGCGTCCTGACCATCTGGGTCTGGGACTGGAGCATTTGGTCCCGTTACCCCCCTTTTATTCCCCCTGACCCTTTGCCGGATCCCGCTCCGGCTTTTAACTCTGTGTCTGGATGGATCTCCTGGTTTTGGACATTGGATCATTCTTGGATTTGCTACGGACTCCCTTGGACTTGTTTGCCTCAGAACACCAGCGCACCTTGGACACGCCCCCTGTTTTCCTTCCAGCCCCTTTGCATGCTTTTTTCCCTGTGTTTTCCTCACTCTTTACCGGATTGTGCTGTCAGCCTAGGGTCCTGAAAGAACGCTTCATGACAGAGTGCTTTGGTCTTGTGTTTGGATGTGAGAAATTCCACTCTAACATCATTGGCCTACAATTCATTGAAATAGAGACTGATCATAGGCCTCTTATCACTTTAAGTCAAAAGCACCTGAATGACATGACATCACGTATAAAGAGAAAGGTGATGAGACTGCAAGGTGACAATTATGAACTGCCTTATAAACCTGGGAAGTAGTGTATCTTGTTTTTGTGGATGCTCCCTCAAGATCAACAGCTGGGAGGCCACAGACAGTTGGCTTACAAGAGATAGAAGAAATCACCCGTCATGTTCATGTAGTTATGGAGACCATTCCTGTCAGGACAACAGTGAGACAAAAAATTATGAAGGGAAACCGCTACAGACAAATATTTGCAAAAGGTCATAAGGCTAATGCAGGGTGACTGGCCAAAACAAACCTGTCCTCAATATTATTCTCTTCGGGACACTTTGGCAGTGGTAGATGGGCTGTTGTTGAAAGACAATCAGATTGTGATTCCCACTTCACTGAGAAAGGAAGTACTTCAGAAGCTACTCGAAGGACATTTCGGCATTGAAAAAAACAAGCGACTAGAGAGTCTGTGTTTTGTCCAGGAATTAATCAAGAAAACAAAGACATAATTGCAAGCTGCACCACATGCCTTAAGCATCAAAACAGAAAACAAAAAGAACCAAGGATCATGAATCCTCTGGCAGAAGGTAAGAACAGATTTGTTTCACTTTGAGGGCAAAGACTACTTATTAGTGATAGATTATTTGTCTAATTACCCAGAAATTGCAATCCTTACCCGTTCCACTGCCATTGGAGTGAAATTATTTTTTGCCAGGCATGGCATAGCCAATGTGGTGGTCTCTGATAATGGCCCCCAGAATTGCAGTAAAGAGTTTGCACAGTTTGCCTGCCAGTATAAGTTTGAGCGTGTTACTGTCAGTTCACATTTTCCACAAGCCAATGGAAAAGCAGAAAATGGTGTACAAATTGAAAAACAATAAAAAGGCATCAGAAAACAATGAGGATCTGGATTTGGCACTGTTAGCATACAGGACAGCACCTCCGGAGTGTGGGAAGTCTCCAGCAGAGCTTATCATGGGTCGGCAGTTGCAGACACTAGTTCAAAAAGTAAGGAACACAATCCAGCACCATAAATTTTACTATGACCACTTGGTAAAACCATTACCTCCACTAAAAGTGGAGGACAGGGTGTTATATGCAGAGTGAAGATAATGGAATTGTATGGGGACTGTGCTTCAAGAAGTGGCTCCAAGAATTTATGTAGTACTAGCAGATGGAGGTGCGGTTGTGAGGAGGAATCACACACAGTTGCCAAAAACTCCTGACCAGGTTGTACAGAGCAGCCAAGAGGGCCCACCAGAGGAACACCAGACTCACCTAACGCAGCAAAAGGTAGCCAAGGATGAAGGAGAACAAATGTGTACTACAGTAGGTAATATCACGGGACAGTCATGTTATGTTTTGGAAGTGATTCAAAGTTATTATTATTATTATTATTATTATTATTATTATTATCATTATTATTATTATCATTATTATTATTATTATATTTTTATTGTTATTCATTCCTGATTCTGCCTTTGGATGTTATGGCTTAAGTGTTCCTATTTCCTTTCATTTGAAAGCTGTTCATTTTCATGTATGCTTCACTTTGTCAAAATAATCTGATGCAGGGGAGATGTAAAGATATATGTTAACATAAATAACCCTCTTGGGTTTCCGTAGGGAGTACAGTATATTAAGTGAAGGTGGCAACGGAATAAAGTCAGTTATTGAATAGATGCATTATCATGTATAGTGTAGACTCATTACAAAATGGTTCTGAAAAGACATTGAAAGACTCAGGAATTTGTAACATCTAATTATTTTTCTGTATTATGTTCATTGTGAGCTGGCCATGGCCCTGTGATAGTGAAGTTTTTGAATGAGGTGGGGTTTACAGATAATAGGTATTGAGAGGCTGAGGTGTGTCCACAGAGCTGATCTGAGAGTGTATCCCTAATTCACGGTCTGAGACTGTGAGCATTCAATTGGTCTGGCATTTTTTCCACCGCCTGAAGTATGATAAAAGTGAATATACTGTATAGATTGGATGGATTTTAGAGACAAAATTCTCCTTTAGCAGATAATAACTGTTCGATCAGAAGTCCACTAAAGTAAAAGAGTACTGTATGGCATGAAGAATCGCAAGCATTAAAAAAAACTAAATGAATGATAAGAATGTCAACCTTCAAGTTCATTTGCACTTTCTGACTCATCCTATCATTGCAGAGGAGCAGAAACATCTTTCCTTGTTTAGAAAAAGGCAGAGAAGTTGCCAGAATAGAACATTCTTTGATGAAAGGATGTGAGAGCCATTACCACAGAAAAAGAAGTGGATCTAAATGTATTTAGGAATCTGTTTGAGGACAATATTGCTGAGAAAGGCAGAAGTCAGACTGTAGGTCTATAAAAGAAATGGCAGCAAGATCTTCTGGCCTGGAAGAGGATCTCTCCTGTTCCATGTGTTATGATATCTTCAAGGATCCTGTTCTCCTGACATGCAGCCACAGCTTCTGTAAAGTCTGTCTGGAGCAGCACTGGAAACAGAAGGGCTCTCAGGAATGTCCAGCCTGCAGGAGAAGATCTTCAAGGGATCTGCCTCCCTTCAACTTGGCTCTTAAGAATGTGTGTGAGAAGTTCTTACGGGAACAGAGTCAGAGACCTCCAGCAGGGTCTGAAGAGCTCTGCAGTCTGCACAGGGAGAAGCTCAAGGTCTTCTGTATGACTGATGAAGAGCCTGTCTGCCTGGTTTGTCAGACCGCAGGAAAACACAAAAACCATGAGTTCTGTCCTGTGGAAGAAGCTGTGATGGATCGTAAGGTGAGAAATCATAATATTGAAAACATTTTTAGATACTATCTTCAAAAGGAAATTACCATGTTATAGTTGTGCCAGTTTGTTTATAGTATTCAATAGTATTTATAGTATATTATAAGTATTCTGAATTATTGGCTGTGTACAAAAGTCTAACATAGCAAACATTGGGAACAAAGCAAAAATAGCAACCATTTTAATTATTTTTAGAAAAAGAGGTCATAATTCATTAATATTTGAACAACTGAGCAGGTGTATAATGTATTAAAGTATGAAAAGAAATGTTTATTTTTGTATAGATTTACTAAATTTTCCCTTTAAGTGAATAAAATAGATTGAGACCTAATGGCAGTACCACAATATTCTTACAGTTTTATGTGGTATTCTAAATCCTTTGAAGTTTGTTTAAAAATTTTAAAACCCTAATAAAACCAGTGGTAAGATAGTAGGTCAGTCTAAAATGTAGGGAAGACTTATAAAAGAGTAAACCTACCTTAGTATAACCTCATTAAGATTTTAATACAGATGCATTAAAACACCATATGGGAAATGACTGAATAAAGGGGCTGTGTTTTTAATTCTTGAATTCAGGCAGCAGAGGGCTCTTTTTGACATACTTCAGAATCTCTAGTGCTCTAGCTTCTACTCCAAAGGTCTGATGTCAAGGAAAATCATGCCCAGACATGAGAGAGGGCTAAACAATGGGATACTGTCAAACTGTGTACAATACAGTATGTGCATTCTAGGATTTTTTAGGTTTTAGTTTTTTAAAACGCTTCTTGATCAACAGTTGTTATATAGTCATAGCTTCAAAATATTCCGTTCTCCTGAATTTTTACTGAATTTATATTTATATACTGTATATGGTTCAGTTCATTTGAAATAAAGCTTCAGTTAACCAATTAAGAGGTCATTGAAATAGTAGAAACTTGATTTGTTTTCATTGAGCACTGAGCTGATACAGTAAGTACAGCACGACTACTTACACCGGGGTCCCATCAAACCACAGGAATGTTTCATTCTTGTGTAACCTACCCCTCAGGAATAATATACTGTTAAAACTGAGGTACTGGTGTCACTGCAGCACTCCAATGGAGGGGATGTAGAAACCCTGTACTAGAGAGACTGTATCTGCAGTGAAACTCCTCCGTCAACAGGATATTTCTCTTCTATGGTGTCAGTAATGTCTGCTGTCTGTCTGTTTCTGCAGTAAATTATCATCTCTTTCCAGGAAGAGCTCAAGGCTGCATTGGAGCATCTGAAAAAGAAACTTAAAGAGATTGATAAAGTTAAACAGACATCTGACCAAACTGCAGAGTTCATTAAGGTAATTGAGCTTTGAAAATATCAGAAACAGAAATAAAAATCTTCAGATTATTTTATTAACATTTCTGGATAAAGGGTAAGATGACTAATATCTCAAAATGTATCTAAGAAAGCTCAGAGAGAATAATTAATTTTTAAAAATGCAATAATAAGTGTGTTCTATCTGAAATAAAATAAATATTAAAATGTAATTGATGATGATACTGCTTAATCATTTTTGTAATTGCCAGCTGCTTGAACAACCTTTCAGTTGGATAGTCAACTTTAACCAAAAACTTCCCATATATATAGTAATAGATCTCAACCAGCAATCAACAATTTCCATTCCAGACACAGACCCAACAGACCGAGAGGCAGATTAAGGAGGAGCTTGAGAAACTTCACCAGTTTCTACGAGATGAAGAGGAAGCCAGGATAGCTGCACTGAGGGAGGAAGAAAAGCAGAAGAGTCAGATGATGAAAGAAAAGTTTGAGAGCCTTACAAGAGAGATTTCATCACTTTCAGAGACAATCAGAGCCATAGAACAGGAGATGAGAGCTGACAACATTTTCTTCCTGCAGGTAGAGATGACTCTCTGTGACAACAATCCCTGACTATAGCCTGACAGTAATAAAAAGTTATGTTCACACTATGTGCTGTGCTGTGACACTAAGGCATCAGGTCTGTTGTGAGTCTCATACTGAAAACTAGGGATTCTTCTGAAGTCTCCAGGAGTCTCTTGGAATGGTGAGTCCTCTCCCAGACAGGGCTGTGTCCAGTTTGCAAGGAAATCTGAGACAAACTAACCTCACTTTCATACAGAGATATAGTATAATTCCTCTTCGACTGCAATCAGTCAGGGTTGGCAGCACTACTGACTGCTTACTATACAACAGTGTCTCTTCAATGGCACGGATAAATTTAGAATTTAATATATATATCAATATACAGTATTAACATTTTTGGGATGTTTCATATTACACAAGAGAGATCTATTTTTATATAATATACAATCGCTGCATCATATACAAGGTATAATATATAATTAAGCCTGACTAAAGTGCAAATATATTGTTTTAAATGTAAAATTTCAATCACATGCTCTTTGTTGTTAAAAAAAATATTATTTATTTTCATTATTCAAACACACTTCATGCATCTGTGCACTCTGATTTGAGAACTCTTTACTGTTGCCTCTAGTATCATGGTCACTATTTAATCAGGAAAAGTAAAACTTAATTGGTGCCTAACATGTTCTTCACTATTCCTACAGAACTGTTTGAGAGTCTGTGTTTGTTAAGAATTAATAACTTGTCCTATTTTTTTTTCAGAACTACAAGGAGACAAAGAGAAGGTACAGTATGTGCACTCCAGCCTGTCTTCCTCTTTTCTATTGTACTGAGTCCTAACCCACAGCACTTTAAACCAACAGCAGCACTGACTCCTGAATATTATTGCAGAGCCCAGCGCACACTGCAGGATCCAGAGGAGGTTTCAGGAGCACTGATTGATGTTGCCAAGTACCTGGGCTCTCTGAAGTACAGAGTCTGGGAGAAGATGCTGGGGATTGTTCAATACAGTGAGTACTGGGGTGCAGGATCACAAGGGGGATTTACAGGTTTTCACAGTACAGGAGGAACATTGAGAATTGTGGCATCACATGTAAGAGTCCTGGAGTGAAGTGACTGATCTCCAATTTGCTCTACAGGTGTCAATATTTAACCAGATTGTTCTGATGATCCTCTCCTGACAGTGTGTCTGTAGTGTCCCGACTCTTTAAATGATGTCCTCCTACTGAAACCAAGAGAAATCTGCTTTAAAAAAATACTTTTACCATTATACCCTTTTTTCCATTGTTCTAAAATATTTATCTCATTTACTGTAGATATCATCAATGGTTTCTGAATTTCTCAATTGAATTGTGTAACATAACATTCTTACATTTGACAGTAATGTAATTAACATTTTACATTTCAAATATTCTCTCTTCATACAGAAAATATAGTAAATTTTACACTGAGGTTTATGATGATGCTGTTATCTGTTAAATTTTCAGTACCTTGTAATCTGAGAACTGAGAACTGTTCTAGAGATTTTAAAATTTATAATGTTATACTTTTTATGACCTACTTTAAATATATATATATAATTTACGTAATTTATAAACATTTTTATTTATAAAACATATCTTTGAGCAGGTCAGTGTTGATTTTGTTTTTTGTTTTCCCTATTAGTTCCTCTGTCTTTGAACACCAATACAGCATCACCACAACTTTCACTGTCAGAGGATCTAACTAGTGTGAGATACAGTGGTCAAAGACAGCAGCTTCCGGACAACCCAGAGAGGTTTGATAGCATTGTCTGTGTCCTTGGATCTGAGGGATTCACCTCAGGCACACACTGCTGGGATGTGGACGTGGAAGACAAAACTTGTTGGGTCTTGGGTGTTGTCAAAAAGTCCATCAAAAGGAAAGGATCATTCACTCTAAGACCAGAAGGAGGACTATGGGCTCTATGGCTATCGGGGGATGCCTACGGTGCACTGACCTCACCAGTGACACAAATCACTCTGAAGAGGAAACCCAAGAAAATCAGAGTGCAGCTCGACTATGACATGGGGGAGGTGTCATTCTCTGACCCCAGTGATGGGACAATCATCTACACTTTTAAACACAAATTTAATGAGATGATGTTTCCAGTTTTCTTTCCTGGCTCTGATCTTGGTCCTCTGCGAATCTGCCCAGTGAAGGTGTCAGTAACACAGTGTGTTGAGGATGAAGACCAGGGCAGATCTGGGATGAAAAATCATCCTTAAGCTTCAATGGCGTCACTGTGTGATATTGCTTAGACTCTGATAGCAGCTTGTAACACCACTTCCAACAGGACAGGAGGAGGAGAAGAATTGAAATGCAGCCGTAGTGGTTATTTGAAGAGACTTTAAAATTGTTCATTCTGCTTTGTATGACTGTGTGGAATCAAAACTAGTTATTCACCGGGGTGAGATAATTCTGAATAAGTTCCAATTGTAATGAAAATGTTTTTGAATTTCAGAGGTACCTTTAAAATCACTTACCTAATTCTGTCATCCAGTTTCTTAGTTACAGAGAGAAATCTAATTATTGTTTATTGAGCTATGATTGAAGACCAGTTAACCCCTAGCATGAATATGTTTCCAAGCTGTATTATCACTTACGTTGATCTCATGTTGTAATGTACAGTACAGCAACAAACCAAAAGTGGGTGAAATTAATTATTTCTCTGATTAAGAATTCATAGAGTGTTTGTAATGAAACTGTCATTTATTAAAAAGAAGTATTATCTGTGGACTTTGTAGAGATGCTAAAGCATTGTGGATTTCTAAAGCCATTATTTTTCTGTAAAGTGTAATTTGTGAATTGGCCATGGCCCTGTGATAACCTTGGCATTGAATGAGGTGGGTTTCAAAGACAGCAGCTATTAGGAGGATGAACTGTGATCCTGTGTCGTCAGAGCTGATCTGAGAGTGTATCCATAGTTCACACTCTGACACTGTGAGCCATCAATTGGGCTGGCATTTTTCCCACCATCTGAAGTATCATAAAAGTTAATATACTATACAGTGTAGTTTCATGTTAGAGAATACTACTTTAACCTTTGAAACCTTAGGCTTCACTTGGCCGTTCCCCACTATGTATCCCAAGTACTGTACCTAGTCTCTGAAGTTCCTAACACATTTTTCTGTAGATTGATGGTGAGACCTGCCCTTGCTTCATGTATTTCCTCAAGTACCAATTCTAACTTCTTCAAGTAGTTCTCGCAATCAAGGTTGTAAATAATTACATGATCAAGAAACTGTATGCAGCAGTACAGTATAACCTAGGTGACATTGCAAACGATTCATGAAATGCTGAAATGTTGCTGGTGCCCTGTGCAACCCAAATGGCATCATTCTGAATTGGTAAAGGCCACAAGAAGTACAAAAGGCAGTTTTACATTTTGACCATTCTTCTAGTAAAATTTGCCAATATCCTTTAGTTAAATCCAAAGTAGATATAAATGTAGCTCCACCTAGTAAATTAAGTGATTCAACTATTTTTGGCATGGGGTATGAATCAAACTTTGAAATTTCATTTATTTCCCTGAAATCAACACAAAACCTGGTTTCTCCATTCTTTTTAGGTACAATAACTACTGGGGAGCACAAAGGACTAGTGGAAGGCTCAAGAACTCCTAAAGCTATCATTTTCTCAATTTCCTTATCTACTACAGGTTTTAATTTTTCAGGAATTTGCTTACGTTTTGTCCTAATAGGGGAATGCTGCCTAGTATCTGCCACGTGCTGAATTACATCAGTTTTCCCTGGCAGATTGGTAAATTTTGATCAAACTCAGCATGTAGCTAAGTTGTGAGAGTATTACCTCTTGGACTATCACAATTGTACCCTACATCTTTCAATCAGGCATAAGCTTTCTGCCATATCCCTCCTTAATTTAGGCAAAATGATTAAAGCCAGGTTTTGCTTTCTTTCCACCAAAGGTTTTAGAAGATTGATATGAAAGATTTTTTTCTTTTGTGTCAAAAAGAGCAGTTTCGTAATCTACAGGCCCTACTTGTCTTAGTACTTGAAAGGGGCCTTGCCATCTCGCCAGTAGCTTATTCTCTGAAGTAGGTAACAGTAGCAGAACCTTACAGTATCACCTACCTTAAGTTGTATTTCTTTGATACGCCTATTGTACCATTTATTTTGACTTGAACCTGCTTCAGGTTTTCTTTAGCCAGCTTTGTGTAACTAGCAATCTTTTCCCTAATGTTGATGATATAGTCTATTACAGTATCTTGGTGGAGTCTGCAATATGACCTCCCCAACTCTTCTTTATGTGATTTAATGGAGCACAAGGCTGTCGACCATATAACATCTAAAAGGGAGAAAATCACTTAGATTCCTGAAGCACTTCTTGCTAGGCAAATAGCAGGTAGGGCAATATCTTGCCCCACTGTTTAGGCTCTGTGTGGACATATTTTTTTTAGCATACGCTTCAAGGTTTGATTCATTTTTTCCACCAGTCTGAGGTGAGGATGATAAAGGGTAGTCCTTATTGCTGAAATCTGAAGAAGTTCATACAGTTCCTTCAAAAGGAATGATGTGAAATTGGTACCTCGATCTGTTAAAAGTTCCCTGGGTATACCCACTCAATTAAACAATGTGACAAATTCCTCTACAATCCATTTAGCAGTAGCTGTTCTCAGAGGAACTGCTTCTGGATATCTGGTCATATAATCACTGATGACTAATGTATATTTATTACCCCTGGAACTAGGAGACAAAGGACCCAGAATATCCATTGAAATTCTCTTAAATGAAGTATCTACCACAGGAATGGGAATCAAGGTATGTCGGTTCCTTGCTAATTCTGGTGCCACTAATTGGCATTCTTTACAGAACCTACAGTATTCAGCTACTGTACATCATGAATGTTTGGCCAACAAAATCATTGTAATATTCTTACCAAAGACTTATATCTCCCCATGTGTCCCGCTAAAGAAATTTCATGAGCTATTTGCAATACTGTATGTCCTCTCGTAACATCTTTGGAACAACTGTAGCGGCGAGGCTTATTAATAAGAAAGAATTAAGTGTTTCTGAGCTTTCCCAAATTAGGCCTCATCTCTCTGTTCATCTCTGTGGTGCAGCCACAGAGAAACTATTCATGCAGGGTGATTTAAGGTCCTAGGACAGCTCCCAAAGGGGGATGCACTTAGCTAAGCCTGGCTATCATGATCAATGGTCATGCATTG